TTATGATTAAAAAAAAATAATAATTATGTGATCGGTATCGGTGATCGGCCCTCATGGGTGATCAGAATCGGAAAGCCTGATTGGCACATCTCTACTTTGTAGACATCTTGCTGTAAAACTTTAGGATCGATTAAATTAAGAAAAATAAGACTAAGCAACATGACAGAGCTATATAATATAACTACATAAAGCTAATTTTTAAAGTTTAATCGGTAATACTTTTATAACAGATTTATGTCAGATCATGATTTCTTGGTTAATGTCAAGTTGTCATAACAAAGACATTTTGAATAATGTCAACTTTGTATTAAAAGTGTTATAATTTACCAAATGACGCTTTATGACAACAATCAAAAATATTCATGAAGGCTTATTCATGTTCATGACATGTGTTATGTCATGTTTATGACAGTGTCATGACAGTCTCATTCAACCCCCTTCAAATAAATTGTTACCCATTTTTCTTTTCAAATCTTTCAAAGATCTGGAAGACCTTTTCAATAACCTCCTGCTGTTCCACCTCTGATGATTGTGACATAAGACTGAGCTCTTCTTGGTTTGCCTGAAAAATAGTGTGAATGAGGAGAAGGATGACAGGAAGTGAGACAGATCCAATTAAGAACATGAATGAATATGTCAAGATAATTTCATCTTCTTGAACTTGGTGCACAACCTGAAAATTTTTAAAAAAGAAAAATTCAGTTTAAATTTCAAATGAGTTGAAAGATTTGAAAATGTTATATTTACATACCTTTAGAGGTTCTGGTTTGGGTTCTTGTTTCACCTTTTCAATAACCTCCTGCTGTTCCATTTCTGATAATGGTGACACAAGGCTGAGCTCTTCTTGGTTTGCCTAAAAAATAGGGTGAATGAGAAGGATGACAAGGAGTGGGAAATATTTACTGAAGAACATGAATGAATATGTCAAGACAAGTTCATTTTTTTCAATCTACTTCACAATATTCTGCTAAAAAAAGAAACATTTTTCTTTTCAAAGATTTTCAAAGATCTGAAATATTTTCAAATATTTCAAACAAGTTTGAAAATTTGAAAATGTTATATTTACATACCTTCCCAGATTCTGGTTTGGGTTCTTGTTTCACCTTTTCAATAACCTCCTGATGTTCCTCCTCTGATGATGGTGACACAAGGCTGAGCTCTTCTTGGTTTGCCATAACATATTTTGGATAATAGTCTAAGAAAAACAATGAAAATAAAAATCTGAATTTTAAAACCAATTGGAGTAAAAATCCATTGCATTCCATACATATATACACATATAAATACACACACACAAGGCAGCAGAACTTACATGTGAGTATGCTCGCAGTCAGGACAGACACAGCAACAGAAATGGTTTTATACAACATGATGCTCTGCGATGTTAAAAACTGTTGTAACCTGAAAACAAAACCAGTAAATTTATCTTTCTAAAATCTGTCTGAAGTCTGGTAATCGTCTTTAGAGATGTATGTTTCTAAACTTTTTAATATTTAATAGAATTACTGCATTTCACAACAACTTGTTACTGTTAGCAAATTTTCAATTTCATTGTAACACCCTGCAATTTAAATAATTAATATATAACATATGAATATTTATATATAACAACTGCATAGCAAATTAAGAGAAACTCTTACCTGCTCTGCAAAGGGAAATTGTTGAATAAACCGTAACATGAACCACTGGATCAACGTGTGGATTTGAACTTTGACCTCTGTGTTCTGTGACAAACCAAGGCGTGTCCACGACAGTTTATGGTTTATTTAGTGTTTGATGTAACATTGTGTAAAATATACATGAGATATTTTTTACTCACAATGACATCTACAAAAATAAAAGTTAATTCTCATACTACAACTGCATGTTTACTCATTTGACCAGTAAAAGTTTAAACAGTTAAATTACCAGACCCTCAGACTAACCCTAGAAAATGGCGTCTGCCGCCTTCGTCCTCATAAAAACTACTGGTTTTCATTAAGGCAGTGAAAATACCAGAAAAATTCTTAACCTATACAAGTACACACACACACACACCAGTTTGCATTTCTACCCTTATAATAATTTTGCATTGACTTTCATTTATTTTAGTAACTTATTTCTGCCTAAATATTCTGCTTCCTCATTGTGTGAAAGTAGAAACATGTTAGTTTTGTTCCTCACTAGAAAACCTTTGGTCAGAATATTTGACCGACACTCCAAGACATAAAATACTCTGAAAACATGAACCAGGACTTATAATCCTTGGATGATTTCAGATGTCAAAGGTTTAGTCTTTTTTTTTAATTTCCTCCAGACTGGCTGTAAAATGAGTAAAAGTTAAACTGACAGTTTGATCCTATTTGTTTTATGGGCTTTGGAAGATTTGTGAGATTTAAAGACTGATTATTGTTTTATTGTGGTGCAGACAGCAATACATAGTTAATATGTAAACTTAGATCGGTCAGTTCAAAAGTGAAACTAAAATCTTAATGTGCAAAAACAGATATTCAGCTGTCTTTTTCCACTTTAGATATTTGATTAAAAATGGAGATTGGAGAATAAAGATGCAAGATCACATTTAATATTTGTTTTATTCCATATTTTTGACTTTTTGCAGTGCATACAGATGATTAGATTCAGGAAGAGATCGTGCCAACATAACAACCCTGGAAGAAAATAAAAACTGATCTTACCTAATACCAAGAAAACAAATTACAAAAACCAGCAAAATAACCTAACGATCACATAAACATGAAAAACTGGGATTAAATAGAAAACCACTCTCCAATAAGAGAGTCTGACCAAAAGTTTTCTTTGTATTTTAAATACAAAGAAAAAACACTTAAGCCTGCAAAACAAATTAGCATGGCAGTCAAATGGCCAACAGACACAGAAGTGGATTAAATAGAGCCCTACTCATTTATGATTTATGTTTAATCCTCCATAATGAATCTTCATCTCCTGTTTAGCAGTTTTATGGTCATAGTTTTACATTTTCACATGCAGCTCCTTGCAAAGATGAAATGATCTTCTCTCCTTTTTTTGAGACAATTTCAAATATGAAAATAAATTTTCATGAGAAACACTTTCAATCAGTTTTAAGGGAATTAATTATTTTATTCATATCATGTGTTATTAATGATCTCAGTATTAATGATCCTATCTTTTTAATCATTATAAATGTTCAAAGACCATTTTATTGAACATGTTCAATAAAAAACATTTTTAATAAAAGGAATATGGAAAAACAGCAAGAAAATGGGTTTGGGGTTCTCATATTATTACATTTAAAAAAGTTTAATTAGTTCATTTTATTTCTCTTGCCATCTGAATCTCTATAGGTTCCAAAACCTTTTCAATGTTCAGTAGCTGTCTTTCATATTTTTTCTTTTTCTTATCCAGTTTCCATTGGGTTTGTAGTAATTCTTCTTTCTTTCCAAAAAATGATTCTTTTTTATCAGACGTTTGTTTCTGTGTCATTTTGTTCTCTACCGACTGAAGATCCTTTTTGTTTTTCTCCCTTTCAGTCTGAGCTTCTTTAAGCTGCTGTAAAAGATCCTGTTTCTGCTTCTCCAGTTCATCTTTAACTTTGTTCTGTGCTGTATGTAGTTGTTCATTCTTCCCTGTTGAAGAAAATAAATAGACTTTAATACTGCAGTAACAACATATTTCAGTAAAATGTCCAGAATGTTACAAAAACAGAAACATCAATTTAGAACTGAGTCTGAAAGTACAAAATTTAGACTCTTGACCTTTTAATGAATAGAAATCGAAAACCATCTGCTGTTTTCAACATTTCTAATTGTTTGCATTCATTCTGAATTTCCTACTTATTTTACTGGTTTGACAACTAGATGATGAAATGAAGCAGATCCAGATCAGTCCTGATGAGGCATCACTAAAATGTTACAATGCCAAACTTTACATTTTGTTGTTTCAATATTTTTAGAACATAAAATGATAACTGTCTACCATTTATATGATTTAAAGTTAATATTTTTATTCAATGTGCAGGATATCATAAAAACCTGAGACCATCTTGAAGAGGATGAAATTTTGAATCAATAAGTACATTTGAACTGTATCACACAGTGAGTAACTGAGTATCAGACCTGAAGAGCTTGTAATTCTGCATAATGGATCTAGTGCATTAATGTTACACCCATGAATTTCTTATCATGTTTTTATTTCTAACCATCTCTGTTCTTCATTCTTTGTATTCAATGAATTTATGTTTGTTTTATTGCTGTTTTTAAATATTATCTTGCATTAAATTTATCCACAATTGTATAAAGGTCGTCATTTTTTAAATTAATCGATCTTCAACATAAAATATTTTATTTCATGTTGCACTATTCCCAAAAACTGTTCATCTCAGATTTCAAGTTTGATTTAGTTTCCTTTGAGTTTAGCTCTTTCATTTCTCAGTGTGGACAGTAACTGTTTCTCTTTTTATTCTTGTTCTTGTATCTTCTTTGTCAGGCTAACATTGTTTTTTGTGTTGGAAACAAAAGATACAAACATGAATACATTAGGAATATAATATTCCTCTTTTATTTGGTTCATTTATAATACATTTCATCAATATTTTTCTTTTGACTGAAAACAAGGATCACTTGTAAACCTTTTCTCTTTTAATACGAGAATATCTACAGTCATTTGTTTATGATGATAATGATGATGATGATAATTAATATTATTATTATTAGTATTATTATTTGACTAGTCTGGATTCTTCTTCTCTGATTAGGTTGAGAAATGAAGCAGAACAAATTTTGTTCTTCTGGTGAATCATCAATACACTGTTACCATCCAGATTATATCAGTTGTAACTAATTAATTTGTAACATTTAAACTTTATCTTTTAGCTTACCTTTTTCCTTTTCCAGTTCCTTGTTTTTTTTACCAAGTTCCATCTTTAACTGCTTCTCTTTCTCTTCTAGTTGTTTAATTTGCTTAGTCAGCTCATCTGTTTGGGAAACAAAACATACAAACTTCAATTTAGCAGAAACAACATCTTATAATCAAATGTTGAAAATATTAAAACTGAGTGTAAATGAAGACATGTTGCTCTGGAGGAGAATTAAATAGTAAAATAAAATCTATATTTAGACTATCAAATGTTATGACTGATCACTTTCATAACTGATCTGCTTTCTTCTGAATTTAATACATTTCTAGTGAGAAACATCAATAATTTTCTTTTGAGTGATTAAATTGTCTCTTCTGTTCATTACTTTGATAATCAGAATATCTAAAAACTAGAATCGTTTGTTCATGTTCAGTCACTGTTTTACAATGATTTCCTTTATTTATCTAAATTCTTTCATTGTGTTTTTGGTTTTTTAAAATCATTTTCTGTGTCCTGTTCAACTGTGAGTGTCTGTGATGCCCTGTCCTCCCTGATTGATCCCAGCTGTGTCTAGTTCCCTGATTACCCTCCTCGTGTATTTAAGTCCACTTGTTGTCTTTGTCTCTTGTCAGGTCCTTGTTTTGTGTCCCGTCGTCATGTCAGTTCCTTGTGCTCCTGTGTTTACTTTTGGATTTATCATTAAAACATCATTTATTCATCTTCAACCTTCGGTCTGCCTTGTGTTTATCCTAACCGTCAACCACAAATCATGTCAGGAATAAAACATTGCTCTTTTATTTGGTCCATTTATTCTGAATTATATCAGTATTTTTCTTCTGGGTGAAAATAAGTATATATTAACCTCGACTTTTGATTATAAGAATCTCTTATAATCAAAGAGTATATAGATTATTATATTATGTATATAAACAAATAATATAAAGTTATTTTATTATTAATATTAATATTATTATTATTATTGATCCAGTCTAAAATTGAGGCAAAACAAATTTAGATTTTCTGCTGAATCATCAATAAACTGTTACAATCCAGATTCTCTCTTTTGTAACTAATTCATCTGAAACATTAAATATTTAAACTTTTTCTCTTAGGTTACCTTTTTCCCTCATCAGTTCTGCTTTGCGCTCTTGAAATTCTTGTTTCCACATCTTTAACTGCCTCTCTTTCTCTTCTAGTTGCTGTGTCATTTGCTTAGTCAGATCATCTGTTTGGAAAACAAAACATACAAACTTCCATTTAGCAGAAACAACATCTTATAATCAAATGTTGAAAATATTAAAACTGAGTGTAAATAAAGACATGTTGCTCTGGAGGAGAATGAAATAGTAAAATAAAATCTATATTTAAACTATCAAATGTTATGACTGATCACTTTCATAACTGATCTGCTTTCTTCTGAATTTAATACAATAATTTTCTTTTGAGTGATTAAATTGTCTCTTCTGTTCATTACTCTGATAATCAGAATATCTACAAATTAGAATCGTTTGTTCATGTTCAGTCACTGTTTTACAATGATTTTCCTTATTTACCTAAATTATTTCATTGTGCATTAAATATCCTCTATATCTCTACAAAGGTTCTCACTAATTAGTCTTCAACATAAAATATTCTGATTTCATGCAGCACAGTATCCAATAATTTACTCTTCATCTCAGATTTCCAGTTTGATTTTGTTTAATTTGAGTTTATTTCTTGTATTTCTCAGAGTTGATTTAGACTCTTTTTCCTTATTTTTTTCATTATTTTCCTCAGCTAGGCTATCATTCATGGTTGTGGTGAAAACAAATGTTAAATCAAATACAGCAGAAATACAGTCTTATCATCAAATGTTCAGAATACAAATAAAACTGAGATTAAATTGAAAAATGAGAATGTATGACATTTTAAATATTTTTTTTTCCATTTTGTCTCTTCTGTTCATTACACTGATTATCAGAATATCTACATTATAGTCATGTGTCTGTTCTGTCACTGTGTTCTAATGACTATTTTTATTCAACCAGATTTAACTAAAAATGTCACTAGAGCTGTTTTATAATTTTTCCAAGTAGGGCTAGGTATGGAAAAATAAAAAATAAATAACTTAGATATTCTGTGAAAGTAATTTAAATCCCAGTTTGGTCTCCAGAAATGTTTAATTTTTGGGTTAAGGTCGAACACAAGACGCATTTAAAAGGCTACTGTAACAAAATGACAGCATGCTGAATGTTCATTTCTACTCAGTTTGACAGCACGGACTTCAAACTTTTAAAAAATAGTGTTTTTATATTGGTATTGTTTTTTATTTACTTCAAAATAAAAACCAGAAATATGATCAATCATGTTCGCCATAATGTGCGCATGTTTTGCATTTGCGGCTCATTGAGTGAATATTTTGTGACCAGGAAATCCTTGAATGCAATATGAATTCCATTTTCCGATTTCCTCAAATGTACCATATTTCTAAAACAACCAATGAAAATGTATTGACGGTCTGCTGGGGCGTGGGGAGAGAAGAGAGGAAACACGTGGCGCAAAAGGCTCTGTAGAGAGTTTTGGAGACGGGAAGAGTAGAGCGCAGTGACGGTTTGGATGAGTTGTTTGGACTATAAGTGTGTTAGTTTTAGTGCGTAAGTGTGTGTGCAGTGTTTGTAGGAGTTTTGTTGGTCTGTGTGTCAAAATAAGGCGTCACTGCAGAGCAATCTGTGAAGAAGAGGAAGACGGCGCGTCGACGGACCATTCAGACATGGAGTTTGATTTTGACAATGAGGTTTTTTCTTTCTTTGTTTACTTGGGATGGAATGTTTAAAATAATATAATCACAGTAGATGCACACTGCACCAGATATTCAAGCTAATTTCCATCTCCAGGTAGACAATCCTCCATTTTCTTCGGGGAAGAGGAGTGCGAAAAGGAGGAAGAGGAGAACCCACCCACTGTGTCCAGGTGTGGCCCACCCCGCAGAAGGCACCACAGAGAGACCAGATCCAGAAGCTGCAGCAGAGACGTGCGGTATGGGCAGCGGAACACGGGAGAGGAGATGCAGCCCCTGTTGTGTTGTAAGCTGGAGAACACCTGAGGGCGCAGGTAAATCTGCTCCTTCTACAGGCCTAAAGACCTTTTTTTTTTTTTTTGCAGCTGAGGTTGCAGCAAGACTTGTATGGCAAGCCGTTTTAACATAAATTCTAAAATTGCATTTTGACTGGACAAAACTACATTTTGACTACCCAGAGTAGTAATTTAAGATATCTGTATTCACATTCTGACTAGTAAGAATAATAATTCAAGATATCTTCAGTTACATTTTGACTAGTCAAAATTCCTTTCAAGATATCTCAAATGACGTCACTGGATCTGTCATTTGACGGGACACATATCCGTAATTACGATTTAAGATATCTTCAACACAATTATGACTAGTCAAAATTACAATTTTAGATCTCTGAATTAAGAATGACGTGAAGCCCCTTTGTGGTGTCCAAACAGTTGCCTGCAGAATTTCATGTTTCCTGCACAAAATTGTCAGTAAATGCCACAAATTAGAAAGAGCTCGACAATGTTGGAAATGCAGAGATAGCAAAACTTCATAAACTGCTTCTGATATCTGCAAAGAATTTCCTGTTTATTAATTCCCGACGAACCGAATGCACTTGAAAACAGCTTTGAAAAGCTAAAATTGTTACTGTCAAACCATTTTCAACATGAAAGTGATGCATTTTCAAACATTTTTTTTCCGTTTTTTCTATTTTTCATTGTTTTACTAAACTTTCAAATTGCTACGTAACCAGAGACGTTTTGACTAGACAGAATATCAGGATATCAGTAATATCATTCTGACTACCAGTAGTCGGAATGTCAATTTAAGATATTGTTGAGGAAAAATTATTATTTTTAGTGTTTAATCCTTTTAGAACAAATTTCTTAATTTTGAACATGTTTCTCTGAGTGGTTTAAAATTAAACTATTGCTGGGTAAAGTACTAAGGAAAGCAGAGAGATCTGCAGTAGAGCTTCTGCTCGGACCCCTGTGGTCTTATCAGAAAAGACAGGAGACCATAAATTAACATATGCAGGAAGGCGGATGACAGTATCATTTAAATTACTGTGAGAAACAGGAATTTACCCAGTTCACGAGAGATCTGAACCCTTCCGTGGACATCTGGGATGGTGTAAAATGTTTTAAACCACTAACATTTAATTTGTAAGATATTTTCCTTAGATATTAATAGTATGTTCTGACTGAAAATTGTAGTATCTAGTTTTAGAATCATTAATTTAGTCGATGATGAATGTATTTGAAATTGTATTGTTTCTGACTATATCAGAATCAAATGAAAATGTTGTTTTGTATCAGAAAATTGCTCAGGTTTATGGTGAATGTTTGTCTTAATTTTTATTTGAATATTATATTAGGTTAGAAACAGGAATTGTACTCCATTATTTTCTGTTGATTGTATGTATTACTTTTTGGTTTTATATCAGGACTAAACCTTGGAGGTGCTGAGTGCAGAACAAATTGGGTTTCTGGAGATAATTTTTCATTGAATTAAATAGAGAATTAAAGGGTTTGTTCCCACTAGAATCTATCTGCAGGAAGAGAAGGAGGAAGGGATGTCAGGATTTCACAGATACCTGTGAAATTACCTTCCTCTGTTTCTCTTTGCACAGATGGCTCTTGAACAACAGGAGGTCAGACAGCCATTTCATTCCTTTTGTTTAACACAAAAGAGCAAAATGTCTTTGATCATGGTAATAAAAAAGGGAGGTTCTATGTTTCTCAGAAGCTCAAAAAATAGCTTCCAGTTGGTCAAGCAGAGATATGCCTTATTTGAATATATTAAAGAGGAAAACATGCCTACAAGTATAAAAGTTTGTGCTTAAGGGGAATAATTCAGAAAAAGCTGATTTTAGTTTGCTATCTTTATCGGTCTTCTTGTCTCAGGTAATCAATGTATGTTTCTGTTTTTCTCCAGTTTTCTGTTGTATCTTATACTTTCTTTTGATTGGATTAAATTCTGCAATTCTGTGACGTCAACACGCATTGTTGTGTTTTGTCCCAAACGCGCCACCGTCAAGAGAACTCGGGATCCAAACAGGAAGAAGGAGAGCCAGATTCTTTTCTAAATTTAATCACATAAATAATTCTTCCTTTACAATATCTTTAATAGAAAAGCTGTGTAATTCAAGATATCTCCAATTCATTTAGAGATATCTTAAAAGGAATTTTGACTAGTCAAAATTACAATTCAAGATATCTTTAATTTAGCTTTGTCTAGTCATTATTTGCTTTTAAGATATCTATAATTTAGTTTTCACTAGCCAAAATTACATATCTCCTATCCAAAAATACATTTAAGATATCTTGAATAATGGAGTAATTCGAGATATCTTTAATTAGAATTATGACTATTATGACTAGTCAAAACTAAAATCGAGATATCTTGAATTTACTTTATGACTAGTCATAATTTAATTGTAGATATCTGAAATGTGTATTTCAGATAGTCAGTAATTCATTTGAGATATCTTGAATTGAAGTCTCCATACAAGTCAATGGTAAATCTGACGTCATTTTGACTAGTCAGAATATAATTAGAGATATCTTAAATCTCTGAAAAGTCTAGTCACAAAACAATTTGAGATATCTGGAATATAAGGGCGGTAAAACCGAATTTATGTTAAAACAGCTTGCCATAAGGCTTGTGACGTGCCGCCTTCTCTTTGACAGAAACTGTTTTGATGACTGGCACAACTGATTTGTGTGCAGACCTGTTGGAAAACCCATTTTGTAGATAGTTGTAAGAAAAAAAAACACGAGACATTGAGATGTTGGAGAAAATTTGTCGTGGAGACAATGTGCCACATTTTCTAAATAGTTGTATAAAACTCCTCGGAAATTACACACAATTTGATGTAAAACATGTATTTAAATTGGTTTTTGCAACATTTTTACACATGTTTATAAAATGTATAAATTTACACATTTAGGTTTGAAAAATTATTTGTTCAACATTTTTGTGAATTTTATATTAAAAATATCAATATTTTTTCTACTTGGATTTTAATTTGTGTGTTATTTGTGGTCCACTGTGATAATGCATTTTGTCAAAATGAAACAAACACTGTAAAATGATAACGCTGAGGTTGTGCTGAAAATAATGATACCAATCAAGGTAAATAGTTTTTAAGGTGAAAATATAAGGGAAAATTCAAAATTGGTCAAAAACCATTTAGGCCATTTAGACCCCAGACAAAATCTATTTTTACCAACAAAATACAAATACAATTCACAAACAGTTCAAATGATCTGTGTTCATCTTCACTCTGATGCCAAACTATCAATAAACTTTTACAGTTTATTCCTTTTTTGTAAATGATTAATCTTTAAATATTTTACTTTCACGCTGCACAATCAGTGACTTACATTTCTTGAAGTTCTTTTTTTGTGTTTCTTTATTCCAGTTCCATGATCTTCTTTGTATTCCATAAATGCTTAATGCCTAATTACTTTTCTTTTTTAGTTCATGTACAACATTTCCACCAGATGTAACAAGGCTGCATCTTTGAAGCTAGTTAGTCCAACAACAATTACCTTCCACAGTGGTTGACTTGGTGTTTGTGGCTTCAGTCCTCCTTGTGTCATCCTGCCTCGGTGGCTGGGACTGTGAGCTCTTAGACATTCTTATAGACACAAGAACACACACACACACACACCTACACGCACGCACACACACACACACACACACACACACACACACACACACACACACACACACACACACACAGATGTTTAGATTCAGGTGTTTGTCAGATACACTCTGTTGGGCTGTGGTTGCCAATGAATTCACCTTGTATTTCCAACAATGTCATAACTGTTATGATTATTAATGCATATGTTTTTTTGTTGCTGCAGTTTCTCAGTTTTGTTTTTTCTCTTCCTGCAGATCTAGAGGCAGATTTCTAGTATTTTCATTTGTTCTCTCTATACTCATTACTCTCCTCTCTTCCTGTCTTTCCCACTTAAACATTTTCTCCACCTTTCCCTCTTTTTTTCTTTCCTTTTTGTTTCTAGGTTTATTACATTTGAAACAATCCCAAAGAAAATTCTAATAAAGTTTCATATGTATATCAAGTGGAGCATCATGGCCAAATCCTTAATGCTCTGATTGTGAAAGGAAATCTGTTGGGCTTCACTTTGACACTTAGACAACAATCCTTAGTGTCTCACTGCCAGACAGAACAAAAATAGAAAAAAAATATATTTTACTTTCTCACTAGCAATAGCAGGCTAACTCTCTTGGGCATTTTGTTTGTAAACATTCAGTGTCTGAACAACAAAGCGGATGAATAAAAGATATAAAGCTGCATAAGTTTATTTATTAATCTATTAAAAAATGTCTTATTTTTAAAAAAAGAACAACTCCAGACACATCTAAGAAAATGTGTGCAATGAAGGTTGAACCAAGGAAAAGGAGGAGCAAAAATTAATACACCATGTTCTGTGTTACTCCAAGTATTTTGTTCAACAGAAAAGTAGAAGAAGACTAATCCTTATTACCTTTGTGAAACTAAACTAAATTGTTTAGTTAATTTTCTAATAAAAAGAAACAAACTATGTGAAACAAATTATTTTGGTTTTATTTAAATGTAAAGTGCAACCTGTCTTGATTACGTAGAAATGTTATGGTTTCCATAAAAAAGCTAATTAGACAAAGTGGATTTCTAACTTTATCTGGCAAAGAGATAAACTTTCTAATCAAATTAAGAAACTAAACATTAGTAAATCTTACCTGTTGTGTTCAGCGTCAAACCAGCTCCTCTTAGTTCACATCAGAGAACCAAGGTCTAGGTATATAAAAATGGTTTCAATGTCCTGCTTTACAAAGGTTGACACCACACCCATGTTGCTTTAATTACTGTCATTAAAACCAAAGGATCAAATGTTTCTACCTGAGGATTGGTGAACTCTGAACCTGCCAGAAAAAAAACAGTTTGGCAGTAACTCAGATTAGTTTAACTTTGTTTCTGAATCTGCTTACAGATCAAGATAAAACAGGGCAACATTTAACTGCTGCAAGATAAAACCTGCATTGTTTCACAAAGCTGCTGTTACCATGGAGAGATCACCATTTATCAAGAAGCACAAACAGAATCACTTATCAGAAATCAATCATAACGGCTCATAAACTAGATAGAGATGTAGAGATTTATTATGTTTATCTTCTTCAAAATTTTATGTTGGGAAAATAAGTCAAATATTCTTTTAATGTTAAGTTGAAACTGAAATTAAAATCTATGGCTTTCAGAAGCTAAAGAGTATTTTTTTAAATCAATGATTCAACAACTAGTTAGTAAGTTTCTCTATATTTTACATAGAAGAAGTTGGATGAACTTATTGGTTGTTTCCAGCAATAAACTACATAGTTTCACAGAAGTTATTAATGTGTGATGTGTTTGTTTTACTTTACTTTTTTCTAAGAATAAAATGTATTACTTAGATGAGCAGGTAAACAAGAGTTTCATGAATATATATATATTTTTAATTACTGGTAATTTAAAACCAAACAGGAGTTTAGTTAAGTTAAATTAGATTTTATCTGAATCTGACCAGAGTAAATCTGAAGAAGCAACTGATATTTTATTGCAGCTGTTTGCTAAAGGCAACATCAGAGTTTCAATAACTGATTTGCATATAATGTTAAGAATAAATAATTAGGTGTTTTCCTTTATCTCTTTTAGCTACAAAAAATGCTAATCTTTTTAGCTAATTGCTGTTTATGTGTATATGTATATACTGCTCAAAAAAATAAAGGGAACACTCAAATAACACATCCTAGATCTGAATGAAT